CCCCAAAACCCCAAAACCCCAAAACCCCTCTTATAATAATTTTCTCATATATTAAGATAAGGTAAAGTAAATAAATAGATGTATGTTTATCGATAATTTAAATAGTATTTAATTGCACTTAACATCAGGTAAAAAATGAATACCTAAACTAATTTATTTGATTTAAATTAATAATTACTATTATTCCATTAATGATAAATACCATCTCAAATATCATATGTTGCGGTCTTAACTAAGATCAAAACACATAATCCTATCCATCCCTATCATTAATGCAGGAAAGTACAGATCGAAGTCAATCAAAGCAGCTATAGTATCTCTTGGCTAATAAAAAACTAAATCCAAAAGTATCTGATGAAACAGATCTATTCATCCAAAACATATCAACAGAAGACTAAGAAACCTCACTATCTTAAGTTTAAAATGAACCTCTCAGATAAAGACTTGCTACAAATGATTTTTATGAAAAATATTGTATTAGCTAATCGATTGACTCTGGACAATCAGTTTTACCATCTCTCAAATGCCTTTCTTCTAAAGAGAGTCAAAAATAGTCTCCCAGGGCAATGGTTTAATAAAAATCTTATGTCCTTCAATACGAGATCGTTCCTTTTGCTAAAAGAGAAGTACCCACTAGCAATGTCTGCAGCAATGAACAGAGTATAGATTTCAGCGATCGTTCATAAGTTTATGAATTCTTGCTTAATGAATAACGAGAATTGTAGCTTTTATTGAATTCTAATGAACATTCTACGAATATGCTCAACCAATCCTCTAGGAATCTTATGTCTACAAATGATGACCCTGTAAAAAAGTTTTTAGAATTAAGTATGACTCCTTCACAATTTAGAACTCCTGTAAGTAAGAAGAAATCTTCCTTCGTTTATACTTAACTGCAAAAAGTAATAAAGCAAAATAAGTCGAAAAAATCACAAATCTCAACACCATAAAATGATAGAATTGTGAAAACAAGACAAGAACAAATTGGATTGGCAACTTTAGGCTATAAAAATTTGCTCTCTGGAAAACTGTATAATCCTAATGGAGGTACCCCACTTATTATGTAATAAAAGTAAAAGAAGTAGAAAAAGCAGTCTAGAAATGAGATGCCTGAGAGTCTAAGTGTCCAAAGTACTCTTAATAGTATGAAGAATGGATACTCTAATAGGAATGAGTCAACAAATCATAGTTCTAAGGATTTTACAGCAATTAAAAACAAAGTTGCAGTGAAATTATTCAAATAGTGAATACCTAAAATTAAAATCTAAACTTTTCCTGGATTAATATACTATGAACATAACTTAATAAATCAGCTCTAACTTTTTAAATCGATCTCAATTTATTCCTTAATTACTTTCATTGTACTTTTGAGGGGTTTTGGGGTTTTGGGGTTTTGGGG